TATGATGCATTTGTCATTAGTATGTCTGGTTCCACATAGGTATTTCTGTGCGGGGGCGCTGTCTGCCTCATCACCCTTATGAAATCTGTATGCCTGCCTGTAATTAACACCCCCGGACGCCATCGTCCCCTCTGCCCAAGCTGACCAGCGCTGCAGCTTATAATGTGTGGCTTTGTTGGCCAGTAGCTCTCCTCTTCATTGTATATTCACGACCCTACATCCTTACTGCTTGTTAATCTCCTTGGGGGATAAGCGCTATATGACCCTCCTATCCTGAAAGCACAGCTTTCCTCACATTACGCGCAGGCATAATAAGAATTAATAAAAGGCGAGGTAAGCTGCTGGATTGAACGTCATGCCTCAGATTGTATAAGACGGGTTATAAACTCCTCACCCTGTGCCCTCAGTAAGTACCATTTGTGTAACCAGTGCTGTGGACTTTCAATGTCCCCACTTGACATTGTGTGCTGGATGCCATTATTCCGCTCTGTGTGAAACATTGACTGATCAGATAAGTGCAGTTGATTTCAGCCATGCCACACACTAGCCCCCCCCCCAACCCATCACGCCCCCGGTTAAATCCATCCCGGTAAACACCACAAAGCATGGAAGATGTCTGGGAAATTGATTTCTGCTGAAACAACTGTCCTTCAGACTGTGAAGATTCATGGCGCATGCACATTAATGCCTTTCAATGGACCGTACTAGGGGTGCTCATTTTTGGAGCAATAAAAAGCAGACACCGGCTTTATGATAGCCCACATACACACCCCTACGCAAACGTACTCCACATTCTGAACCTGTGCCGTGTTCTCTTCTGCCGACAACAAAATAACAACCCTTATATTTCTTGATGCAAGGTCTGCGCTGCCAATAATAATAAGAAAAATGTTTCTGAAGAGCATCTTGAACTAGGATTTCATTTTTGTTTCCTTATACTTGAATGACTGCCAAAATAACCACAGAAGAAAAGGTCAAGTGACAGCTTTCCTACCCCTTGCCGTCATATTAAAGAACGCGGATGGAAGATGTGCAGAATTAACCTAGCATGAAATGCGGCAGTGAGTCTTAAAGGATGACGCGACGTGGCTTAACTTGGAGACGGGGAAAATGACATGTCCATGAAACCGAGTTTTTCCTGGTTTTGATTCCATGTGTTCTGTATCATTTCAAGACAGGGAACACCTGAATCCAACAGCCTAATTAGGCAGGTTTCTGATTAACCTTTTCAATGAGAACTACATTATCCTTATTACTATAACCATGTTCAGTATCCACAACTATATAACTTAATGTCGTCTACTTATGATTTGCTGATGAATTCTCATTCTTTAGATCAGTGTTGCAATATAAGCGCTTGTATGTTCGTCCACCCAAGTGGTTCGTTTCTGATTTGTTCTTCCGTACTTCTGGGGGTCGGGGGCATGTGTTGACATGAAAACTTTATTACTGCCTACATTTTCTTCTTAATCCACACGTGTCGAAGTTTCAATCCTTCACAATGAGTCTAATTGTTGTTATGATTTGCATTATTTGTATGGTTGCACTAGTGTGTCTTTTTTTTTTTTTTTTAAAGATATTTGCATAATATTTTGCTTTGCTACTCTTGCTTTCTTTTCCAGAATTATACATTTTACCTTTTCCTTATCTGCTAGCACAGGTGTTCATGCATTTGTACATTTATTTATTGTTATTCATGTGTTTCAGTGCGGCTTTTTGTATTCAAAACAAATTGCATGGGGAGTCGTGTCATTTTGCATACAATCCAAGCATAAATTTACATTACATGTGTTTATTTAGCAGTTGGCTATGTCCGAAGTGGCATAGAGACGGATAGTAATAGCATGCAGCTTTCAAGGAACCAGCTTTACGTCCAAGCGTTGTTTGGGTCAGCTTCCAACCAGTAACTAATACAAATCAGCACTGGAACGAGACATACAGAAAAACAAAAAAACACCACGAGGACTAGGTTCGTATGTGTAAAATCCAGGAAAAACTTGTTGCCAAGACACAATAACCAGAGAGGGGTCGGAGAAGACAGCAGTTCAGCGGTAGGATGAGTTCCCAGAAGACTCGGGTTTTGAGAGATTTCTTAGTAACAGGAAACAACCAACAAAAGTTAGGAATGAAATGCATTTTCGATAATGAATCGCTTTTAAATTTAAACATCGTTATGTTTAAATTTGTCATGTGTTCATTTGTCAGTGTGTCCGTGAATTGTGACGTCACGGATTGTAGCCGAGTACATATCTGAATCAGGCTAATTCCGACTCCGCTTCATGTGTTACTTTGGAAACTTGTTCTATGAGTGTGTGTTTTGGATCAGTGAACCATATCATCCCAATCGCCATTGAGGCCATTTCATTCCGTTGTAAGATTATTTAAAAATAGCGACTGTAACTCCTATTATTTCACTCTGGTGGTGGTGAGTACCTTTAATATTTATATGTTAATATTTTATAAAACACAACAAACTGGAAACATTAACCATGTAAAATAGACCATGGTTTCACATGACCATAAATTTAGACTCATTGGACGAAATGGAAGACGATTCACTGAGTGAACTAAATTAATTTACTTAACCCTCAGTTCAGATCAAAAAGAACTACTGACGCCAGGGGCGCCGTAAGGGGGAGGAAAGCTAGGACGATTCCAAGGGCCCCTGAGTGACAGGGGCCCTAAAAAATTAGGAAAATAACTGGATTGGTTTGGACTGGGGAAACTAATATCATATACTTTCATGGGGCCCAAAATCTCTAGCAACGCCCCTGACTGACGCAACTAACGACGCAAATCCAGTGTACAGTCGTTGCTCTTTTATGGTGCTTGTAATTGTTTGTGTGTGAGTGTAGGCCTACGTCTTCTTGGAGGATTAATTCATTTAGCATGGACGGCTCACATCTTTTCCCAATCAACGATCAACTCAACGACTAAAACATTTGCTTAGTTACGTGACAGACATTTTTAATCAACAGATGTTATGATAATTTTACAGATATTCCGTCGGATTCTAACTAGGCCCGAGACGATGGACGTTGCTTAAGACATATTCGATTTTTCGAGTTCGATCCCTAACATCTGTTCAACTCTGTTCAAGTTTTAATTTTTTCCATTGTATAAAGCAACAGCCCAGAAACGATATATATGCCTACTAATGCAAACAAGGGAACTGCACGAACAGCAAGCTGATTTCAGTGGCTAAAGATTATTCATTGTTTACTCGTTATGTGTCAGATCAGGCGTCAATGTATTTGCATAACTCTTTTTTTTTAAGACAAAAAATGTAACACATTCAAACTGCTAAAATGACCTTTCAGCTGACATTTAATGTGTGATTGAAATAATATATGTTTGTGTATGCCTTTCTTTTGACGACGATGATAATTGTAATATTTTTGCGGGAAAAGAACAGGACGGAATTACTGTTTCAAAAGTCGCACGTTCTAGGTACCGAAGATGCGAAAAATACATCTGGATCACTTCCAAAGGTTTCACAGCACTGTCAGACATTATTTCGGTGTTGTCACCCCGCAGGGTGGTTGTTTTTATTGACATTAAGGGAAAATGAGCTAATCGCCTGAAACCATCTCGCGATTAGAGGTAAATTGGCATGTCACCAGATCCTCCGTGGCGCAATCTTTCAGCCTCCAGAAATCTCGTGTGATGCATTTTGCGGCCATTTGACTGCAATAACACGCTGTCAAATGAAAGTTTTCTTTCTGGTAAGGTAGCTGAATAAATTGTAGCATAACTAAAATCTATATTGCTCATTTATAAATGGAGGGTGTGTGGATCGCACGAAATTAAATATATACAGATTTTCATTGTATAAAGAAATTTCTCAGGCCAGTAGCAGTTTGCAAAATGCTGACTAGGTTTCTGTAACTCCGACTGCACCAGTGCGCAATTTTTGGCAATGGGTATAGTCTCCAAAGTTATCTAGATTCGAACGGGTAGCAGAGTGAATGCGGCAAAAAGAAAAAAAGAGTCGACGTATAAAAAATAGTGTATAACACGTGTCTAACGAGTGTGTCAGGTACGTATTTGTGCGCGTAGAGGATATGCATATGGTTAAATCGGAATACGTGTATCAAGATAATCTTAAACCGTCTATAGCACATCTACTGTATAGTCATCACATACTGAACATTCAGCACATAATACTTAACATTTTTGAGAAGGCAAACTGTTTCTTTTCTCGATTTTAACACCGTCCTTGTACTGCGGTTCTCCATTCAATTGATTTCGTCCAATTGAAAGCGCACGTGCCCGCAAGGTGTTGCGCGTGCCGCCGGAAAACGATCGAGTATTAATTTTGAGCAGTTATCAGCGCTCGCGACTGCCAAAACAAGGCTTGTCGCCTTGGGGTGTTGTAGTTCATTTCTCGATTGCCTGAGTGTACGCATAACTCCCCCCCCCCCACTACAATCTACGCCAAAAAGAAGCTCATTAAATTAAAGAGGCTCAAGATAATGGGGAAATATCGAGCGAAAACGCTCCGTTGTTCGCGCTGTGCTGTCTTACTTGACTCTAGCCTTTTGGTTTATCAAGCCGAAATAAAGTAACGTCGTGGTAAGGTGTTAGTGGAAATGCATTCTATCTGGAAGCTTTGTGCCGGGTACCAGTTATATCAATGCTTCTGAAAATTGCATATCTAAAATAGTCCTTGTGTCCTATAGCCTATTTCAAATGAAGTGAACTATTTTACGGGATACGCTTTTGAAATGAAATGCATTTGGATTTCAATATTTGGCGTACTGAAGCGCGCGTGTCATCCCCTTTACTCGTTAATGCGGTGCGAGATCCACCATTCAACAAACTTCCAAGTACTCTCGGTCCTTATTACAAAAGATACAATGGAATTAATCCCCCGCTTTTGGACGGCGTTTTGCGCGGTGTAACACCTGGTCATTTAGCATAACTCTACGCGTTCTGATTGGCGACCTTCCTATACCCTCGCACCGAATTCGATGTTCATTGCACTGTCACGACGTCAATCAAAGCGCTTCGCGCCCTCCCCCGAGATATGGAATAAGGCACATTTGCCTTTGCTCCAAAAGCCAGGACAGCTACTTCCCAGCGCTGTGCTGTATCAACATGACAAGAGCTCCGCGATTCTGGTTAGGGAAACATGGAGCTGTTTAAAACACTAACTCTCATGCTTTGGATATTACTGCTACAAAGGAGGCAGGGCTGCCTCGCAGAAGAAGGTACGTTTGCGCGTTAACGGCGTTTTGGCAGCGTTTTTTTTCCCTGAATGATTTTTTCTCCTCAGATCTAGAGTTTACTTGCAGGTGTACGCGCGGTTTCCGACGTTATGACAGTTATGAAGTTGAATTTGACCGGGGTATGAATGGGACGTAATGGGTTTTTCTTCTCCATAAAAGTCGGCGTATGAGACGCTATATTGCACTATTTACCAGCGCGTGACGGTATTTTTTAACGGCACAGATGGAGTTTCGGTGACTGGAGACGGTCACGGGTTACGCAGGATGAATGACAGAATAACCCTCGCCAGCCGTCCCTGTTTTATTTACTCGTAAAGCAGCTGCTGTGTCACTTTTATTCGGACAAATGGTTTTCTGTCAAGCCGACTTTTCTGCCCTAAGTATGACAGGAAAGCGTATTTACTTGACAAGGCGCTCTCCCTGTCTCATTTGACCATCATCCAGCTGCTTCTGCGTAACGTACTCGTTTCAGTTTTTCTTTCAGCTGAAATAGTGACCATTTTCCTAAACATTTTAACTGAGTAGTTTTATTGAGAATTTTAAGTGAGAATATTAAACTGTGGGTTGTACGGATATTCAGTGTATTTTATTAATTTATCTAAAAAATATATTTATTTTTTAGTAGCAATGTGCTGACTCCATTCCCCTGTATGCTAAGATTATTAGATTAGTACAGGCAGAGTGAAGAATATCACAGACTGTGATATCAGCAGGTATCTTTGAGGAGGTGTGGATTACACCTTGGGAAAAGCTCATCTGTTCCCTGCCTTATTTCTGAGGCCAAGTTTGGAAGGTTTGGGGGGGGGGTTGTGGTGACCGCAGCAGCTGCCCACAGAGCATTGCCTTTGTTTCATGCGTGGGATCTTTGCGTGGCTCGTCTGTGCCACGGCACTATGGGTCATTGGTAAGGGGCTGGGGCACTAGCGAGAGCGGGTCATGCCAGGCTCTTTCTTGCTCTCCCTCTCTCTCTTGCCCTCCCCCTCCCATCTCATTCCTGGGGGTGTTATGAGGCACTGGGCTTTGGGCGGTCATCGTTGAGTCTCAGGTGAGAGCATCAAAGCGTCCTAATCAGAGCGGTGGCTCTGAAGGGAACGAGCGGATAATCCGCGGGATCCCGGCGGCGGCTGCTTCAGCGCGGCGCTCGTGGAGCTGGGACACGGTTGAGATTGCAACCACAAACACAGACACACACGTATGCAAACAGGATACACACACGCAGGAAACACAGCAGCCAACCTGTGTGTGTCTCTGTGTGTGTGCGCACCCCAGTCCTTGCACGGAGTCCTTATGAATGAACACCGTTTTCTCTGTCAGGAGTTTGTCTGAGGCAGCTTGGTGCTCCTGGTACTGCTCAGATTAAATACCCATGTGCCGTAACCTGCTTTGTTTTACAGCTGGCTATCCAGCTGTGGCCCCTGCTCTAGGAGTTTGGCCCCCCAAGTGTGGATGGAAGGCCGGGTCCGAGTGTGGAGTTGGCCGCATGTGTTGGTGCGTTATTTGTGCCTTACTTGTTGGGTTGTGTGTTACGATTGATGTGCAGGGACATTGTTTGAGCTTTTTGGCGTGCGATGGACTTTGACTGGACCAGCTCCCCCTTAGCAGCCGCCAGCTCCCCCAAGCCCATTTGACATCTTTGCGTGGCTTTAAGGCCTCCTGAACCCCAGTCCTTGTGGTTGCCCCATGGGCAGTATGCTTCCCAGCCTTGGTGCATCTTTCTTATGTTTTCTGCACGTTTTACTGACCCCTGGACAGCCAGAACAGACCACCCCCTTCTGACTTGCACGGGAATGGTCTTTTTTTTGGCAGAGTAATACCAGCCGACTTGTACCGCTAAAGGGCGTACAAACGTTCACTTCATTTAGCTAAAGAAGGATGAGTTGCTCCGCTGTCTTCTGTGTCCCTGTTGTTTTCGCTGTCTCTGCTTTCCTCCCTGTCCCTGCTGCCACTGCCGCTTGGCACAACGGCCTCGAGATGAGGAGGTGGCGTCTCCACTGGGCGCAAAAGGTCACAGCGATTTGTGCGACCGGCGGTGTGACAGGCGTGTCGGACGGGGAGCGTGGCAGTGGCGGCAGGTAGCCGGGCCGCCGCCCACCTCTTCACGCTTTTCTGTCCGCTGTGGGGGATGGGGGGGGGGGTGAGACCCAATAGACTGAAAAAGGTGGAAAAGCAGGGGATGGATTTGGATTTTATCCATCTGGAATTCGAACGGGCGATGGGACCGGCTCCGTATGTAACGGAGCTGGGGCTCTTGGATGGATAGCAACACACTTGTGTGTGTGTGTGAGTGTGAGTGGGGGGGGGGAGCTCACGTGGGGGTGTCCGCTGAGAGATTGCAGTGCCTTGCTGCTTTTCGCGGTCTGTGCTGGTTGGCGTGGATGGTCATTAGGGATTAAGTGATTAAGTGTTTATTTAAGTTTTACTTGGAAAAATCTGCGGCATGTTATTTACGGTTATGCCATTTGTAAACGTTGATTGTACCTTTTGCCCATTTTTCATGTGACTTTTTGTGCCATTTCGAGCTCGGAAAGGAATTAATGATGAGGTCGAGCTCTGCTCCGGTGCCGGTCGATATTAATGAAGCGGCGGTAAGCATGGAGGCCCATGCTGGCAGCACTGACGTGGTCGTCTGTAGCGTGTCTCCTCAGTGTTCTTCACTAGGGCCTGTACCAGTCCTTCCTGCGATGGGTTAAGCCGTATGCTTTGGCTCCATGCTCAGCTGTTTCGGTTCAGGGTGACCCCCCCCCCCCTCCATCTCACTGAACGTGTGGAACAATAGACTATCCCCTATAGGCCTGTCCAGTGACCTGGAAACTTGTTTGACCTTCCAACTTCCTGTTCGTGTAGAGGGGAGGAGGGAATTAATAACTGACCCTTTTTCACGCTCAACCCGTCCTCAACCCTCTGGTCTGGTCCTGTGTCTTCTGCAGTGTTGAACTTTAGGGTCAAGACCGAATCCAGTGCCTGATTAGCAAAGCAACATCAGGATCAGCCCGGGGGTCATGCAGCAATCCACGGTCAAAAATATGGTTAAATAAGAGCAGGAGGTGTTGGTTAAGGACACGGAACGGAGGGTCATAGCCTGTGGTCCCAGTGGGGGTTCTGCTGTAGTACCCTCTAGGAAAGAATTACACTGGAATCGCTTGGTGCTCCAATAAAATATCTGCCAGTGAAGATGGGTGAAAACATCAGATAAAAGCATTGACAAGCCAATAAATTACTTGGAAAAAATGCAGGTTCTCTAACTTGGAAATGCACAGCTGGTTCCAGGCTGCCGGCCTTGTGGTTCTGCTAATCCTCTGGGCCTCCGTGTCCCGCTGGCTCCTGTCCAGTCTGTTTTTCTTGGGCAGCTCCATGTTAAAACTTGGCTCCTCGGTTACTGTCTGGGCACTCTTCTCCTCGCTTTTGTCTCCAAGCTCCCTGAGCTGTGTGCGAATCGGATTCTTCCGCAGCTCTTGGCGTCTGGCGTCCATCTCAGGAAAGCATCCTGATGTGTTTTCCTTCCGTGCCGATGATGCTGCAACTGAAAGGCATCACAAATAGAATGACGTGCCTCACTGGGGGGTTCCTGCCCTTAGGGACCCAACTTTAGTTTTTTTGTGTCCCTGGAATAGTTGGGGGTTAAGGGCCTTGCTCAAGGGCCCAACGGTGACCTCACTCTGCCAACCTTGGGATTTGAACCAGCAACCATCCGATCACAGGCGTGGTGCCCTAACCCACTGAGCCACAAACCGCCCCTGTTGCGTTGACGTGTGTGGGCAACGGAAGGACGCTGAGGATTGAACTTCCTAGCAGAGGAAAGGTCGAATATGTCACATGGCATTCCTTAAAATGCAGTGGGAGTGGGGGGGGGCGTTGGGTTTTTGGACAATAGGGAGAGCTGATTTCCAGGGTTTGGAGGGCCTGAAAGAAATAGATAGGATTAGGTGTGGATAGAAATTTGGAGACTGACTCTGTATAGCAATGTCTGTGAGCAGAGCTCCTCTGTAGGATCTCGAGGTACCAGGCCATCAGCTCACTGCCCTGATTGTGGCCCGGAAAGCCGCAGTCCGTTTCAGTGCAGGTTTGGATCCTACACACACTGCTGGGTGGGGGTGGGGGTGGGGGTGGGTTCTAAAAGGGAGAGCTTGTGTCAGAAGTGAATTTGAACGTGATTGAGCAAGATGGAGGGCTGCGTGATTCTGGGTTGGTGGGGGGGGGGGGGACGCAGTGAGCCGTCAAAGGGATCTCCTCACCACCGACTGCTGCTGGAATCGCAATGAGCTACTGCTCCATCACTGACCAGCCAGAGGGGCTCTGACAATGTGCTCCGAGCAGGTAATGTCTTTTTTTCTCCCCTTGCTTTTTTCCTTAGACTCTGCCTGGAGCGCGTGGCTCAGCTCTGACCTGTTACTGTGCCCCAGAAGAACATTACCATTTATTATTATTTCATACTCAACTGCCAGTTTTATCCAGATTGAGCAGTTAGGTGAAGTACCCACTCTAGGGTCTAACAGCATGCCCTTGTGGGTCTTTAATGGACAAACCTTCAGGTTATGTGTTTGTCCTTAACCCCAGTGTTCTACCTGATACTCCTGGATGCATATATCATGTCCCATTAAGCGGGGTGGAAAGCTTTCTGGCCCTCCGCTGAACGGCCCCAGCAACCGGAACAGGGGGGAGGGCTGAGGTCGTGAAGAACCTGGCATCGCATCACGGGGGGAGTGGGGCGCTCACGAGCCAAGTGGGCGGCTGGGAGGGGGGCGTGGTTCCATTTGGCCACTTTCCCATCTGTGTGTGAGGCAGGCGGTTCTGTTCTGGGCATCCAATCGGTGACCAGAGATGTTTTGGCGTGGCATGAGCGAGCAAGCTGATTGGAGTGCTCCCCGGCTCTGTTTGCGCAGACCGAGCTGGACCGGTGCCACGGCGGTGCTGCTGGTCCTGCTGGTCTGGGAGCTGAGCCGGGCCAAGCTGGCAGTGTGGTGCGGGTGCGTGCTGGCCAGCTC